CTCTTACTGATTCTAACTCCTTCATTTTCTCCGTCGCTTCCGCTTCAGCAGTAGAGCGACTTCTCTTTTCATCATCTAAGAAACGTCGGATTCCAGACAACGCCGCTATCAGCTCCTTTCTGAAACAAATATAACACATCTTAAGAGCAAAGTTCTTAGCCCTACTTATTTCACAGCAGCATAATGATCTTAGGACACTATATTTACCTTTCACCATTTACCACATGCAGATTTTCCTTGAGCTGTTCCATTTCTGCTTCCGCTACCTGAAAAAACTAGGTAAGAGTCTGCAACTATGAGTGACTTCTCACTTGTACATCCCCAATTGGCAAAAGCGTTTAAACGCAGAATTATTCATAAGTGCAAAGAATATTTACTTGATTGTCTAAATGCAATTACGTTAATTATCATCTCAAAGATGATCGAAACAAGTTAATGGGTATTTTTCTTTTACCACTTCTAATGATTACCCAAAGAGACACGAGCAGTTATCATTCACTACACAGACAAAACAATAAGTGGGACTAGAAGGCCCTGGATTCTAAGAAAAGGAATTGTATACCTTTTGCTGCTTGATTCTACCGAAAAGCCTTCGATTCCGATTGGCATGAAGAAGACGGCAACTTCGCTCATACAGTAAATGTTGATTGACGAGACGAAGTCGAGCTCGCAAAATGTCACGCTGAAAAGTCGCTTTTGAATGGAGGAATATGGTTCCTTCAGGAAGTGTTTAAGTTTTTGGGAACACTGATTTAAGAAGAGAATGGATCCTGTCTCTGCAGTTTGTACCAATGCCTAATAAAGCCAATTAGGCAAAGAAAAAAAGGAAAAAACGAACTTGTTTTTCCATAGGAAGTCCGCTCGTTATATGTATCATGTCATCGTATATTCGGCCAGGAAGACGATCGGCCAGACCCATCTCTCTCAGACAATAATGGAACTCCTAACGTACACAATAATGCTTTAAGCCGATTAATTCACTAAATATAAGATTTAGGATGACAGTTTAGTAAACAAAAGCAATCTCAGAGTAAGTATGCGCGAAATCAACCTTACAAAAACATGGATTAATACACAGAACACGCAAACTGCGCACCTTACTCTTTTCCATGTATGCACTTCTCCGAAGTTCGTGATCGTTTTCAAGATTTGCCTCGATCTCCGCATCTGAGGGCAGCAGACTTATATTTTTTTAACAGAAAGAAAACTTTTACTCACAGTGCTCAACGCTCAAAGGTCTCACAAGCCTAAGATAGGGAAATCGTTCCAAGAGGTTTTCTTTGGGTACTTTGACGGCAACTTCAGCAAGTATCTGAACACCCGTGGAACATTGGAAACACCGGAAAAAACAAAGGAAAATCAACACCAACCGCTCC